GCCGGATCTTTAAGCTCATTAATCATCTTGTCAGACATCAGTCTCCTACGTGCTGAATCTTCAACCTTTTTAGTACTCTTGTTAGCCACTATCCTCTTACGTGCTAGATCTCCAAGTTCTTTAGCTCTCTTGTTAGCCACCAGTCTTCTGCGTGCCGGATCTTCAAGTTCTATTGTTTTCTTGACAGCCACCAATCTTCTACGATCGGGATCCTGAAGCACTTCAATCCTCTTGTCCGACACCAGTCTCCTGCGCGCACTGTCTCCTATAACATCACTTTCAAGTTTCACTAGGAAAGAATGATTATATTTAAGCTTAATCTCCCCGTTCAAATTCAATTTCTAGAAAGACAAATAAAGTTAGGTAATTTCTATTATTTATTACATCTCTTGATTTTGAATAATGTTCATATCGGCGCGCAAATGACTGGATTATTAAGTATTTTATTGAAATAAGCAACCCTTACGTGGTGGGAGAAATCTTTTGCTTCGTGAGTTCGGTCAGGCCTGAATGAAGGCTACTGAAAACAAGCAGATAAAGATTCGATCAGCTCGGTTTCGCAGTGATCCAAGACATGCAGATAAAATTGTAAAGATCATCCGATCTCTCTCAAAAATACTTAGTGACCTCTTGACTCCTGAGATCTGATCTTCAATTGTCAGCGTTGTACATAAGAATAGATCATTATTTTGGATATAAAACAACTGTAAGTGTGGCAGTAGCTTCATTAAATAACAGAAGAACAAGGTTATTTCTGTAATCAAAGTTTATAAAGCGAAAGGCCTAAGAATTACAAAAATTGAAGCTCTGACTCCAGGCAGTTAGTCTGTAGGTTATTTAAGGAACAATTACAGATTGATGAATCTTCTGGAGGGTCGAAAAAGGTTCAAAGTATGCAAGTATTTTAACTGTTGGTTTAGAGTTGGATTCTTCCATTTAATGTACATGGCCTCTTTTAATCAGTTAAGACTCCAGTTATACTGCATAAGATATAACAGTAGCTAAGCCAGATCATTGATGGTTATTTACTTTGCTTCTTTTATTTTGTCTTTTTAATGTTAGGAATTCTGTTCAAGTCGTCAGTGCCGGTGAATCATTGCTTTTTAAACCCATACTGAGTTAGCTTGGGAATACTCTTTAGTTTTCAACAAAGTTACTGCCTTTTTTGCTGATCTTATCTGAACTGTTTAGACATAGCTTTATCACTCTTTGCTCGAAACTTAATCCTGATTGAGGCTCTTCTGGAAAAAAAAAACTACAAACTCTTTTACTATGTTGTTAGTTGCCCTTAGCTCCTTCGGGTATTTCCTCTCGCGGACCGGTCCCATCACTTTGACTTTTGTTTTACAAAACAGTTTCGCTTTTCTCATTATCCTACTTACTGGATAATGTCTTTACTGAGAGTTGAAGGATTAAATTAAAGATATTAAAGAGTTTTTGTACCTGTTACCAAGGATTCCATAACGCAGATAGCCACGATATGAAACACCAAAACTGTAGATGTCTTCATGTTTGCCTTGCTATCGCTGTTTTGAGTATCAAGAAGAAAACCGGCAATGTTACTAGGCCTTACGGCGTATATTGACCTAACATACACATCGATATCCAGAAAACGGTAATACTATAATTAATAAAGATATGGCTTAAATGATCTATGAATGGCTCAACGTGAAGTTTTTTTCTAGATGTCATGTTCGCAATTGAACGGCCGATGGGTGCCAAATTTAAGGGAAAAGGAGTCTTGATAAGCTTCCAAATATTAATAGGGGCAGCTGCTGGCAACAAAAAAGGAAATCATCTACAGGCGCGAGATAGCATTTATCAGCAATACTTCATTTTGTCCGCGATTGTTTTCGCGAGGGAACATTTTTTACCTGACCAACTTCCTTGCCGCGTGAGCTAAAGTACAATTCTTCATAGCAAGCAGTACAAGCATTGGAAGAAAAAAATATAAAAAAAGCTGCGGAAGAATATAAACAAACAAGAACGGGATCGAAAACTCATACAAATTGAAGGAGGCAACTTATATTTTGTACCTTGGTACCCTGCACAATTTGTCAAAAGACTTTGCAAGCAATCCTCTCCAGCTCTTCAAAGCACTCAAACGAGATAGACTAACCCTCTGATATAGGAAGGGTAAAGCAGCCTTTTTATTTGATTTATGTGAATAATAGCGTCTCCACATCTAGGAAGCGCTTGAAGCGAGGCATAACAATCAACTTCATTCATCTCAAAATCGCTATCATACTTCATTGACCAAAAGTGACAAAGCATGACCTTCGTATGAGGTAAATTGATGCTGGTGAAAATTTTGAACTGAGCATACTTTTGGTTGTATTTAGTTGTATTCATTGTGTATTTAGTTGTATTCATTCCGTACGTCTGAACAAGATCCGATCTGAGATACCCTTTCAACAATCATCATCACCAATGCAAACAGTTATATTGCTAAAGATCAGATCACCTTCAGCAACCCTTGCATGGATTCCTGTGGTAAACGTAAATTAAAATTCAATGACATAACAATGAGACTATTTTCGTTCATTTACCGAGGTGGTTCAAAGTACGAGTAAGTTGTTCTAAAGTTTTCGATGGTTGCTAATATGGGGAAACTTCTAATTTGAGCAAAAATTACTTGTGTTGTGGGGTGAATTGGAAGTTGTTGTTTTGAGACTTTTATAGTTACGCCTTTTGTTTTGTTAGGCCTTGCCTTTTGCGCCTACGTGTTGTTTTGGTAAATTTATATTTTTTGGCTCATCCCGCGGATTTCCTTGTTACCGTGTTAGACATTTAGACAATTAGACAGTTTCACAGGTGGTCGTGTTTGCTTTGGTAAAGCTGACCTTGATTTCTACCCACACTGAAGTTCCTGTTTATGTGCGCAATTCCTGCACGCAGCTGTTAGCGTTCAATTGGTTTGTGCGTATGATTCCTGGGCGCAGCTGTTAACGTCCAATTCGTTCCTTGGCGCTCGACGAGTACTTCGGTGTGGGCTAACCAATTTCCCCCTTTTTGCAAAATAAACGGATACACTAAGGAACTATCACGGTCAGCTAGCCCAAACATGTCTACGGTTTTCCTATTAAAACGTTGGTACCTCTCGCTAGAGAAGAAGAAAAAAGAGAGAGAGAAGAAAAGATCTGAAGCAGGGTAGTCGAAGCTGTAGTAGCTCTCAAGGAAAGAATAAAAATAGAAGAGTCCAGAGTCTTGATGCCTCTCGTTAAACGATCAAGCTAGTTGCTAACCTCACTACACTTGTGGCGTTGCTAAAGCATCATCTCCGCCGATGCAATCACATCCTAAGTATGTTCACACCCATGTTTGGTTTGAAAGGACAAAAAGCGAATAACTTCTGTCTGATTGAGCCAATACCTCAATTTTTGGGTACAATTATTGCAACGAACAAATTTAGTCTTAGTGTATTTTCAGATGTCGAAGGACTTCGAACCAAACCATTGATTGCCTTTTAGCTGTTGTTACTCAGGTTAATGTCTAACATGAACTTTCTCACATGATTATCAATTAGTTTGTTATGATCATTTACTCGAGTGCTTAGGACAATAAGCATGCTGTTCCAGTATTTTCTTCGGTCATCGTGGTAACGTGGTAACAATTGGCATATACGTCAGGATACGTTCATCAAGATGTGAAGAACTCAGGAAGTTTGGAGAATATGAAAGATGCGTGAGAGTTGGTCTTAGCTACGCTTCGAGCTGCTCTAAAGTGCTCTCTAAACTTCTCAATTACTTTATGTTTTGACGAACACACAGCTTATATATGGATGACTATTTTTATAATTTCATTCTTGTTTTTAGCTAGATAGTGCCGTGCTTTCACAGATATAAAATTTCGAAAAACGAAATGCGCATTAAATTTTCATAAACTACGTTTTTGAAAAAAACAAGCTCGAATCGTGTAAGTTACGTTTAATAATTCAAAGCTGAAGGAAAATAGGAGGTGCATAATACACACTTCCTGACTAAGTAGGAGGGCTTGACGAGATGATATTCAGCTCGATGTTTTGATTAACGGACCCAAGCGCGGTCTTTACTTACGTGCGTTGTGAACTATTTCCAAATATCCGGCCCGACCTAACTCACTAGACAAACTTTATTCCTAAAACTCATTAGTATATAGCAGAGGAGAGAAGCTAAATTTTGAGCCAGTTGGTACAATTACAATTTACAATTTATCACTTATAGAGCGCTATTTACAATGACAGATCAACAGCGCTTTACAATCAATCCTAACCCGCCCATCCCACCCCAGGGGAGGACATCCATCACACAGTAATCTCGTGCGTCGGAAATTAACGTCTCCTACCCCTAACCCTGTAGGAGACGGGACCTCCCTTTATTCGTCCCTATCCGAGAAGACTAGAATATTTAACCATTTCTTGATGTTATAGAAAGGTAGCATATTCTTCTCAATTATTTTAAGACCTTGAGTGTTGGTCCATGTTGGTAGAATAAAGAGAGTTTGTGTAACTAGGTTCCTATGCAAATTTGCTGTGTGGTAGTTCAGGGTCAACTAGACAGGAAGGTTCTACGAAAAATAATTCCAAAAATATGTTTCTTTCTTCCCAAAAATAGCAAATTGCGACAAGAAAAGTGATCTTTGGTTTAAACTTGATCTTAATGGCAAACGTAGTTGCTCTTTAATGCCCCCTGGCATGAGTCAAAAGAATTCTTTTTGCAAGCCAGCAACTTATAACCAAATCAGCTTGAAACTGCCAACAAGCAAGAAAAAAGAACCACTAACATCCAAAAAAAGCATAATTATTTACCTGTAATTGATAAAAATAAACAAATGAAAATTATTTTAGGGCCATCCTATGATTACTAATGCCTTGAAACTTGAAAGGACTGGGTTCGAAGAACATCACATCACTCATCAGAGACGTTGACCTATAATAAGCCCAATGCAGTTATTTCTTTACGATTTCCTTCGATGAATCGCTTTATTTACATAGTATGATTTGGGGGAAAGGCTGGAGAAAGCCCCATTTAACACCCCGTCAAATCGGAGTCAAGCGACAGAAATTTAACAAAGCGAGGAAAGATGGGTCTCAGAGCAACCCATACCCCCAAGTTTACAGAGCTAGCGAGTCAACAGATGTAGATATATGAACTGTTTCAAGGGAGTATACTATTTTTGTATCTTGGGTTTCCAAGTATGTCATCATGAGAACGTTCAATGAAAGTTATAATTGAAGACCCAAACACATAATTTAGGGAAAATGGTTTACAAACGTTATGAAAGATGTTCATCAAGTCCTCTAGAGCAGCGATATCTCATGGCTGTGCGATATTTAATGCTGCGCCGCACAGGAGTTACAAACACATCACGGTTTTGCTGGATCTTTATGTAGTCATAAACACGTGTGCGATGTTTTGCAAGGGCTCTACAAAAGTAGAAAACGTCTCCATTGCTTATCTTCCTACACAACAATTTGCCTTATAACTGCAAAGTTGACGCTTGAGCGTACACCCTCAATCTTTATCAGAGTTCCTTGAGGCGTCGCCGAGATAAAGGTTAGCCTCTCGAGTGCTGTTACGCAACTTTGAAAAACCAGCCTATGTAGCTGAAATGCACGTATTTATATTTAAAAAAACCTCAGCAGTTGATATAAACCATCCCTCCTTTCTTTTAGTATACCCATTTTAAGTCCACAAACTGAATACCAGTCATGACATCGGGTTATAATGATATCATGTAGTGTTTCATGACTCTAACTCTTGCCTCGATCGTGTTGCATGATTAACAAACCACCTCTCAAACTGTTATGATGTGAGGGAAAACCGCTAAAAATTCTTAAGGTGATAAAAAAAAATAAATCAATATTGATTCTATAGAAAAGTACTGATATTATACAGAGGAAGTGACGACAGTGACTTTTGAAAATGGCGGAATACGTGCTTTGACTTAATGATTAGCGTTTAGGAGCAAAATAACCTTATACCAACAAATGCATTCCGGAGTGATGAGGTCAAAATTTCGGTTTCCAACTCAACTTCACAAAACGACATATATTTGGGAGCTTATTCTGTTTGGAAAGGTTTTTATCATCAATACTATTATCCGCAAGGATGACATAAACAAAAATAAGTGAATGCGTGACGTGAAGATTTCCTTTTCCATCTCGAAATGTTACAAACTTAGATTGGACTTCCTGTTTTCTCGTATACTCTGTTTAATCATGTCCACCCGACCATTTTTCGACCAAGTCTCAACAGGAATTGTGCGAGTTCGGTTTTAAAAACTCACCACAGCCTTTTCGCTTGGTTTACTCGATCAAAATAACAAATTAACAATGGTTCAGCGTGATCTGTACTCTTATCGCTAACCGTTACGATTTTCATCAACATAGTGGTCAAAATGTTATGTACTCCGAGGCGCAGCCGAGCGAGTCCGCGATTTGTTTTTTTATCCCAATATCGACCTCAAATAAAGCGATTGTTTTAGTACATGACTGGTTGTGTGACATGTTGACGCAATCAGCGTTATCTGTACTCTTATCAAAGACGGCAAATTGGCCAATCAGAGGGCGACATTACCGCCAATTGTGATAAAACATGACTTTTCAATCCGTGCGTCAAAATTGAGCTAAACGAAGTGAATTGACCTCACTAAAAATTAAGTCATGGCTCTTAAAAATGAAAACATGACAACAAGATTTCTGTTTCCATATTTTTGTAATCAAAATTAGGTTCTGAGTAAATTGCATTTGTATATAAGTATAGACACTGGCTGTGGGCACATTATACGAGTTATCATCACTTGTGTATTGAAGAACCAAGCGAAGTTGTATTCTCTGAGGTAAGATTTCCTTATTTCACGGTCACCACTTCACGGTCACCACTTCCGTACTGAGCATTTTTCATTTCAGAATATTGAAATGATTGTTTTTTTATCTATTCATCAAGGACGAGTTTCCTGAAATGAATTACAAGAGTGCTAGCTGATGGAAAAGACTGTAGCATCATATCACATATTTGATATCGCAAAATTTTCATCGAAGATTGTCTCTAAGAGGATCTGAATACCTTCAGGGAAATGAATAAAATATTTCTAACCGTTCGTGCGTTTGTGTTGTTGCGTTTTACAGCGTTAATTAGCAGATACCTTTGGAACCTGTGGCAATGCTTCCAATAAAAGATGTTCGGTCCTTTTCAATTATCCTTGTGCTTCTAGTGGGTGCATTGTCCAGTCAAGCCTCCCACCTCGGTAAGTAAACCACAAACTAAAACGATTTTATGAGTGTGGGATGGTGAACCCAGTAGAGACCAATGAAATCCCCCTCAGATCGTGTTCAGTAAGGTTGCTTATGTCTCGCGAATGTCATAAATGTCCTGGTTTCTTCGACGACGGCAGTTGATCCACGTGATTTTTCAATAGACAGATAATTACTCATGAACAGAGATAATTATTGGGCCATTGTGTTGTGTTTTCTGAGACTGAAACAAGTAGAATATGACTGGGAAGGGGAAAACAAGAGAGATTGCATGTTTCGGTTACTTCAGCCTCTATGAGAAATTAATTATTGACAATTTATGTTTAAAACCTTTGTTTTCTTTTTTGAGAAACTTGGAGAGAAGCTGGACCCATCAGGCAAAGAAAGACTTGGTCGCCACGGCCAGCACCATATTTCGCGGGGAACAGACATCCAGAAGGTCTCCCTGGTATCCATCGGGGACAAGAAATTCAGCAGTTACTTCCTAGGGATCCCAAAGACACTCCACCTTACTTCGTCTCACTGTTTGATCCGGAGAGGAACATCCCCTTTTACTCTGCTTACAAAGTGACCCCGCAACAGGCGCCTTTCATTGGAAAATTCCACAGAAAAGATGCGAAAGGGCGGTGGAGGAATCCTCCAGGTGGTGACCTTAAGTTTGCACTTTAATATCACTTTATATTTTTCAAGAAGGTTATCCTAACAACGGTCGAAACTATCATCTTCAGTTTACTCCTGCAAATTTCTAACCTATAGATGATTCTTACGTATGATGTACGATCCTCGCAGTAGAGAGCGTTATTTATGCAATAGCGAAAATCAGACCTGAAAAAAATCAGGTCTGTACGGGATTCGAACCACTAACCTCTGCGATACTAGTATCGCAGAGGTCAGTGGTTCGAATCCCGTACAGGCCTGATTTTTTTTTTTTTTTTCAATCTGATTTTCGCTATTGCATAGATAACGCTCTCTACTGCGAGGATCGTGCATCATACGTATCTAATACCGCAGTTCAAAATATATGAACTTCATATGTTCATTGTAGATGATTCTTGGTAGTTAGGTCATCAAAGAAGCCGATGAACGGATTTCTCATCTTGGAAAACTTTGGCTGATTCCTCTTTCTTATTGTCTTCTGTAATATGTGATCATCTTGTTCACTGCACACATCCTTTCATGCTTTTCAATCGCCATTTTAGTGCTTTTCTAACCATTATGCGGTAGTTTCTTTCAAATTGCAAGTAATTCTCACATCCCACTGAAAGACAAAGTAACATTCGATTCCGTGGCTTAGCTCCTTTGATGATCTTGGAAAACCAATATGACCTTTAGACTAAACGTCGCCCAAATATTTTCAGTATTTTTGGAAAAAGGTACATCAACAGGTAGTAATTTTCTGATACTAAGTGAGACTTAAGAACGTGTTTTTCCACTCACACGCTTTTTTTCCCTTCAAGGTGTCCCTGGCTTATACGATGCGTACAAAAAATTAATCAAACGAGAGCCTCTCAGTAAGGGCCACATGAATCCTGCAGGTATAAATACATTCGATATACACAGTTTGGAGGCAACATTCACCCTCACCAATGTGGCACCACAATATATTGCATCTAATAGCGGACAATGGGAAATTTTCGAGGCGAAGATTCGTCGTTTCGCTATACAGACTTGTGGAAGTCGTTCCCGCAATGGAACTCTGTATCTACTAACCGGAACCTCCGAATATGACATGGAAGGAATCATTGCTGACAATGGGAATGTCAACATATTCCACTCCGAAGTCCGCCTTGACGAGGTAAAACTTGCTATCCCGAGCGCGCTCTGGACTGCAGGGTGCTGTGTATGGAGAGATTCTAACCATGCCAAAGACAACCGTGCAGAGTCTTTCGCGGTCATGAGCAATAATGTGAAGGATCCCAAGTGCCTCAACCAGACTGAAATGAGTGTTTCGCGAGTGGAGAAACACCTTACCCCACGAGGTTGGCCATTGGTGAATCTGTTCCCTGGAGAGGAACGCTGCCGACACACCGAGAATGATGTTAGGCTGCATTAATCCGAAACAGTAAGGGATGTTGTACTCATAATTAATAGCCAGTTCGCCTTGTGCTTCTGTAGTTATGTCATAGCTCCGGGAACGATAATGCGAATATGATTTACACAAGTAGGCAAAAAGTATTGTTAGAGCAACTGTTGATTATACGGTAAATTCTCGACCACTTCATTTAAATTGGTCGGTATGTTTGAGAGAAACGAGGTCGAAAGAAATACAAGTAAACTAACTAGCATCATCCTGCAGTTTAGCCTAACGTTCAGTGACTAAAACCTAAGGTCTTTCGGCAATCAATTTTTGACGTATGTTTAAGAATTAATGCGGTCAAGTTACAGTAGAAAGAAGAAATAAAAACTCCGGAACAACATTTT